CGCGCAGCCCAGAGCCTCGCCAGATGTATTCAGCCCGTGGGACCCGCGCAGCTCTCCACCACCCTTCCCAAGGCCGGCTCTCCTCTCCGTTCCGAGGGGGCACAGACGGTGGGGGGGGGGGGCTTCCTGTCCTCGCCCTCGCCCCGCCCGACCCTGCGCGTCTCCGTCGCTCCGCGCGGGCCACGCGTCCCCGGCCATCGCACGGGCGCCTTCGGCCTCGGCCGCCTGCGGCCCTGGCCGACCGGGGGAGGGGGGGGGGGGGAAGGCGCGGCGGCGCGCAGTGGGCGGGGCAGAGCCTCGAGCCGCCTGCAGCCTTCGAGCAGCGAGCCCCTGCTGGCCCTTTGTGCAGTCAACCCGTGGAACAAGGACGCGCGAGAAGGATATGCAAGGGCCTCGGAAGGCCAGCTCGACACCTGGCGAGCGGAGCGCGGTCCGCGGAAGTGGCCACGGATGGGCCGAGGAGGAGGAGGAGGAGGAGGAGGAGGAGGAGGAGGAGGAGGAATGACCTTGGAAGGTCGCCCGTCCTTACTGTGCGGGCTGACTGTGCCCCGGCGGCGGCGCTTTACGGGGGCGCGCAGGAGAGGGCCGGGAGGCTCGAGGTCCTGCGCTCCCTCTGGGCCTCCCGGAGGGGCCCTCGTGGCCACGGCGGGGCGCAGCTCGAGGAGCACGGGCCAGGACGGGCCCCTCGGGAGGAGGCGGAGGAGGAGGAGGAGGAGGAGGAGGCGGAGGAGGAGGAGGAGGGGGAGGAGGAGGAGGAGGGGAGGAGGAGGAGGAGAAGGAGGAGGAGGCGGAGGCGGAGGAGGAGGGGGGGGGGGCCGGGGACCCATCTGGAGCGGGCTTCGGTCGTGGGTGGGCGAGGGGGGCAAGCCTCCTGAGAGTCCAGAGGGTCGTCTCGGAAGGGCTCCGGGGCTCCTGGGGAGGCTTCTTCGGAGGAGGGCTTCCAAGACATGGATGCCTTCTCACACGGTTCCTCCTCGCGCCATCCCCTCCTCGCGCGCCGCCAATTGTCCCCTGCTTGCTGGAGGGCACGCAAAAAAACGATATAATTTATCCCAGGACGCCTCACGTGGTGCGCTCCGACCAGGACCGAGGCGAATCCAGCTATGGCGAGAAGGCCCCAGGAGACTCCCCAAAGCGAAACGCGGGAGGGAGAAGGGGAGCAACGGTATGGGTACTGCTTCCTCCGATGACTTGCCCTGCTGGTGCGGAGGGCACGTTCATGGCCTTGAGGTTGAACGATGGATCGGCTGACAAGAAGGCCGCAGCGCCGTAATTGACAAGGAACTGGCCGCGGAGCGACCGTGGGTCAACGTCGTGGCACGTACAGGGTCAACGTCCCTTTCCTCGTTGTCGTCGTTCTCCTCCTCCGAACCCTGAAAACTGCGAACAACAGGACGGCACATGCGAAGGTCTAAGGCTTCTGAGGGGCATTCGGTTCTGAGCCACGTCCTGTTACAGCGCCTGCTCCCTCCCCTCCCGCTTCCTCCCTCTTCTGCCCCATCTCTGAAGCCCTAGAGGGCCCTCCTTGATGGGGCCATCATGCTAAGCTCCCTGTGGAGGGGTCCCAGAGCCCTCTCCCACAACCTCGTCTGGAAGGGCTTGGTTACCTTCTCTAGGAGGGCCCGGTACCTTTTTGGAGGAGCCCGACAATACTCTTTGGAGGGGGCCGATAACGCTCTTCTCGTCGCAGTGTCGCGAAGCACTCTGCAGGAGCCCTCTCAAATTCCGACGGCTTGTCCCTACGAGTTTCAAACATTTGGTCTTACCAATTTCGGTTGCGTGGTCTTGAAAATTTCAACGGATAGTTCTTACAAGTTTCGGTGGTCGCCCTTACAGATCTCGGTGGTTGTTCTTGCAAGTGTCGGATACGTGTTCGCTGGTCTGTGCGTCCATGTGTCCGTCTGCCCCCCTTCTCTCTCTCATCCTTCATGGGCTGCGAGCGTAGCTCCTCCCCCCACCGCCACCCCGCGCGAGCGTGGAGGGAACGGAGGGGTGGGGACAGAGGGGCGGGAGGATCAGCGAGGCACGGTCGTCGACCTGGCCTCGGTCCTGCAGAGTCCTGGGCGGATGGGCCCACCAAACAGGGGGGGGGCCAAGCACCGAGAGTCGCACGTTCCATCGAGGAACATCAAAAACGCACTTAAACATAATCTCTCGGAGGCCCGCGCGGGTTGCTCGGATCGGCGCTGGGCCCCCTGGCGGCGCCTCCGGCGCCGCCCCTAGCGCGCTCCGCGCGCCAGGGAGGGGCCGAGCGCCGATCCAAGAAATCCGGGCGGAGCTCCCAGGAATCGTGTCTTCGGTTCGTGCCCGCCCGTGCACGGCCTGCAGGCATCCCTCGGCGGCTGGAACTCGGACGAGTGGCGGCGCTCCGCGCACCCAGGCTCGGCGAGGGGCCCACGGCCCCCCGCAGCCGCGCGCCCCAGCCCGTGCAAGAAGAAGTCCTCGGAGAGACGCGGCTGGCGCGCCGGCCGCGCCTGAGGTTCGGCAAGTCGTCCGTGCGTTGCGCCTCCCCAAACATTCGGCGTCTCTCCGTTTTTGCGAAGCACGATCGGGGATCTACCGACCCGGGTCAATCCAGACCTGGGTCAATCAGGCCTTGCAGGATCCTGCGCCCAAGCCCGGGTCAGTGCAGCCCTGGCCTTGCAGGATCCTGCAAGATCCGGCGCCCTGGCTGTTTCCCGTTTGCATTGACCCCCGCCCCTTGAACTCCGACACGGGCCCCCCACCTCTCGACAACTTTTCCCAAGGACCCGCTTTTCATCCTGAGTCATTTTATTGACAGCCCCCGGGGCCAGCAAGGGCCCCGAGAGGCCGAAAAAGATGCAAGGCCTCCGCCTCGATTTTTTCCGAGACGCAGGATGTCTGGGTCGTGCCTCGAAGGTGGCACGCCTGCAGCCTCAGGGCCGACGTGCGTGTGCTGGGGGTGCCTGGGCAGCAGGGCTGCCGTCGTCGAGCCCGCCGGCAAAGGCAAAGTCCTCGTAGAGCACCTGCGCGCGCGGGTGGCGGTTCTCGACGTCGGCGCCTCCTCCTCGTCCTCCTCGTCCTCCTCCTCTTCCTCCTCCTCCTCCTCGCCCTCCTCCTCCTCCTCTTCCTCCTCCTCCTCTTCCTCCTCCTCCTCCCCCTCCTCCTTCTCTTCCTCTGCCTCGTCCTCCTCCTCCTCCTCCTCGTCCTCCTCCTCCTCCTCCTCCTCCTCCTCCCCCTCCCCCTCCTCCCTCCTCCTCCTCCTCCTCCTCCTCCTCCTCCTCCTCCCCTCCTCCTCCTCCTCCTCCTCCTCCTCCTCCTCCTCCTCCTCCTCCTCCTCCTCCTCCTCCTCCTCCTCCTCCCCATCCTCTTATTATTATGATTCCTCCTCCTCCTCCTCCTCCTCCTCCTCCTCGTCCTCCCCCCCGTCCTCTTCTTCTTCTTCTTATTATTATTATTCTTATTATTATTATTATTATTCTTATTCTTATTCTTATTCTTATTATTATTATTCGTCTTATTCTTCTTATTATTCTTATTATTAATCTTATTCTTCTTTTTCTTCTTCTTATTCTTCTTCTTCTTCTGTTTATTCTTATTATTCTTCTTATTATTCTTCTTATTATTCTTCTTATTCTTCTTCTTCTTATTCTTCTTCTTCTTCTTGTTCTTCTTCTTCTTCTTATTATTATTATTATTATTATTATTATTATTATTATGTTTATTCTTCTTCGTCTTCCTCCTCTTCCTCCTCCTCCTCCCTCCTCCTCCACCTCCTCCTCCTCCTCCTCCTCCTCCTCCTCCTCCTCCTCCTCCCCCTCCTCCTTCTTCTCCTCCTCCTCCTCCTCCTCCACCTCCTCCTCCTCCTCCCTCCTCCTCCTCCTCCTCCTCACCTACTTCCCCTCCTCCTCCTCCTCCTCCTCCTCCTCTTCTCCTCCTCCCCCTCCTCCTCCTCCTCCTCCTCCTCCTCTTCTCCTCCTCCTCCTCCTCCTCTCTCCCTCCTCTCCTCCTCTCCCTCCTCTCCCTCCTCTCTCCCTCCTCCTCCTCCTCCTCCTCCTCCTCCTCCTCCTCCTCCTCTCTCCTCCTCCTCCTCCTCCTCCTCCTCCTCCTCCTCCTCCTCCTCCTCCTCCTCCTCCTCCTCCTCCTCCCCCTTCTCCTCCTCCGTCGTTCGGATGGGCGGGAGAGGGGAACACGACCGCGTTTGGGCCCCTCTCGGGCCCCAGATCTGGCCGGAACTAGCGCGCTCACTCGAAACGTCGACCCCTCCGATTTCAACACGCGACGGAACCGAGAGCGGGCACTTTTGCCGGCGCCCACCTGCATGACCGCCTCCCGCTGCAGCGCCTGCCGTGCCTCCAGTCCGGCGGCCAGCGTCCGCAGAACGAGGGCGCGGGTCTCGCGGTCGGGGGCGACCCCCTGGGCGCGCATCTCGGCGAGATGGCACAGGGCGCGCTCCCAGTTTTGGGCGTGCCCGCACGCAACGAGAGACGCGTTGTAGGTCCGCGCCGTCGGCTGCAGGGCGGCGCGCCTCAGCTCCCAGAAGAGCGCCCCGGCGAGCCCCCAGCTGCGGCCCGCGGTGCAGGAGGCCATGGCGGCGGAGTACGAGACCACATCGGGCGTAAGGAGCGCCCGCCTCATCTGGGCGATCAGCTGAACCGCGGCCTCGGGGTGCTCGGTCGTCCGCAGGGAAGACATAACGGCATTGTACGTGACGACGTCCGGGGCGCAGGCGCGGTCGGCGGCCTCCCGCAGGAGCCCCAGCGCCCCCGCCCAGCACCGGCCCAGGCCGCACGACGTGATGAGGGTGTTGAAGGTCACGACGCTCGGCTGCACCACGTGCCGTAGCATGGCCTGCAGCAACTCCAGCGTCTTGAACCACAACCTGCCCCTCTCGCACGCCGAGGCCACCGCATTGTATGTGATCGCGTCGGGTCGCGCCGCACGGCGCCGGCCTTCGTCCAGCATCCAAGCCGCGCGAGCCCACTGGACTCCGCGTCCGCATGCACTGAGCGTAGCATTGAGCGCGATCAGGTTCGGCCGCACGAGTGCAGAGTTCATCTCGCCAAACAGCGCCAGCGCCCTTCTCCACAGGGAGCCGCGCTCGCACGCGCTGATGGCCGCGGCGTAGCCAACGACGTCAGGCCGCAGCGTCGTGCGTGCGGCGTGGCGGAGGGCGGCCAGCGCCTGGAGCCAGAGGCGGCCCCTGCCGCAGGCACTCACCAGCGCGTTGCACATGATGATGTCGGGCTCCACGCGGCTGGCCAGGGCGTCGCGGTGCAGGGCGATGGCCTGCTCCCAGAGGCTGCCGCGCTCGTGCGCGCTGGCAGCGGTGCTGTATGCCACAGCGTCTGGCCGCAGCCGCCTGCGGCGCATCTCCGCCAGCAGGCCCAGCGCCACTGGCGCCGCTCGGCCCCTGGCGCAGGCCGCCAGGCCGGCGTTGAAGGCGATACCGTCTGCGCACTCGGCCGCGAACAGCACGGACACTGCTGCCTCCCAAGCGCTCCGCCGCCCGAGCGCGGCGAGCGCTCCCATCAGCATCCGCGCAGCCTCGCTCCCGCCGCGGGGGATGTCTCCAGGCTGCCCTTCTCTGGAGCTGCGACAAGGACGACGAGCCCAGGGAAGGGCTCTTCGCGAGTAACTATCTTTGGGCTCCCCTGGACTGCCCGCCCTCCCCCGACACCCGACGCCGTGGCAAATCGCGGCAGGAGCTCTCGACCTCACCTCGAGGCGGGATTTCTCGAGCCCGATCGACCCGCGAGGGGCCCAGGCAAGGGGCAGCAGCGCGTCCGCCGCGACCTTGCCACCGCGCCCCAGGTGTCATGGGGCTCTTTGCAGCTCCCGGCTCCTCGGCCGCCCCGTGGGCTCGCCGCCACCCGCGACGCCTGCCAAGCGGGCGCGGGCGCCAGCGCGAGGCTGGCTGGCGCGCCGGGCGCCCGCGGGGCGCTGGCTGGCGCGCCGCTGGTGCGGGCGTGGGCCCCTGCGGGGCTCGCCGCGGGGCGCTGGCCGCGGAGCGCTGGCCGCAGAGCGCCCTGGCTGGCCACGCGGCGGGGGCAGGCGGCGCGCCGCATCGTCGCGGGGCGCTCTGCGCCACGGGCGGGGCTCCGCGGGGCTCGGCGGCGCAGCGGCGCTCGGCGCTGGCGCTCCGCGTCACACCGACGCGGGAGCGGCGCATGCGGGCGGCGGGCGCGCCGCCGCGCCACGTAGGGCCACGCCGTCACGATGGCCCACGCTTGGAAGCCAGGTCGGGCCGGGCAGCTCCGAGGCTTTGAGCGGGGAGGGGGGCGTGCAGGTGGGGAGGCCCTGTCACGCTGGCCCGCGCTGGGCAGGGCCTGGCGGCCCACGAGAGGAGGCGGGAGGGGGGAGGAGACAGCCCTGACGAGGCAGGCGTGGAGGGCGGGTGCCCCCTTGGCCTCCATCCGAGCGAGGCGGGCGGGAGGCGGTGCGGCCGAGACGGGGGAGAGCGAGAGAGTGCGGCAAGATTCGGGACTCGCCTCGACGGGCGCGCGCGGTGCAACCGCCGTTTCTGGCCGCCCGATCGAGCTTGTCAGCTGAGCTGGCCCAGCGCCGATCTGCACTCCTGGCTAGCGCGTAGGACTGCTGATTCCAAAGGGCTTCCGCCCAGGGCCAAGAGTGGGCGGCACCTTGCGGAGGCGGAGGCGAAGGAGGAAGCATGGCATGGCAGATGCAACAATGGGAAGGAGGACGAGGGAGACGGCTTCAGGGTGCATCGAGGAGGCCCTGCATGGTATAGGGAGGTTCAGGGAAGTTCTAGACGGTGACAGAAGGGCTCTCCAGGCCTTCAGGATGAGAAGGTGAGGGGGGCCCTGTCCTCCTACGCGAACCCCAAGAACCCCGACTCGACCCCTTCCTGAGCCTGAGGCCGACTTCTCGTGCTGCGTCGTTTGTTGCTGGTCCCGGCCCCCCCCCCGAACCGATACCCCGAGGCCTCGAATTGTGCCGGCCGCTCTAAAATCATGCGGGCAAGCAAACAAACATAAGACGAGGGGCATGATCGGGAAGAGAGCGAGGGTCTTCCTCGGTGGGCTCTGCTGACCTCTTCCCTACCTGAAATCATCTATCCTCCTGGCCCCAATACATCCTCCGCCTGTTCATTCCTCTTGCTCCTCGTCATCATCACTATTTTTCTCCCACTCGTCCTTCTTGTCATTTCTTGGCATCCTCGTCGCCGTCGTCGCCTTTCTCCTCGTTCACAGCGTTCACATTCCAACCTCCTGCTCCTCCTCTGCGTTCCTCCTCCCCCTCTCCATTCTCCATTCCCCCTTCTCCTCCTGGCTGTTGCTGACATTGCTGCAGCTGCTGCGGCTCCTCGTCATCCTCATCCTCCTCCTCTCCCGCCTCACCTCGCCCCACTCCTTACCATCCTTATGTTTCTTCTCGTCCTCCTTGTCGTCCTCCTTGTCGTCCTCCTCCTCCTCTTCCTCTTCTTCTTCTTCTTCTTATTCCTCCCTTGCCCTTCCTTCCATCCACGGAAAGCTGAATCGAGGTCGGGTTAGTCCGACCCATCCTTGAATGCGACACATAGCGTCCAACCAATTCCTGAAGAGGCGGCCATCTGGTCTCTCGCACAAGCTGCAGCTAGCCTCTCAATGGACGCTCGTCCCTACCCTCCTCTCCGGTTCATCCCTGTTCATCCAGTGAGCCTGCTGATGCTCCTGGTCCTCATCTGATTCGCCCGCCCTCCGCCTTCTGCTGCCCCGCCCTTTCCCCTCCTCCTTCATCCCGCTCCTTCTCCCCTTATAGCAACTCCTCCTCGTCGCGCCAACGGGTGTGTCGGTATAGCGGGCTGGGCGTTTCACCTGAGACTTCCACGCAGCTTATGGCACTGAAGCTTGACACTCCCAACAGCTAACGCGGATGGAAGGCGAATGTTTCGAACATGTTAACATGTTGCTCTCGCGCGTGCGCCGCACACGCTCATCATAAACACGTCCATCGGTGACGCCACTGGGGGGCGCATTGCTATCAACATGTTTTAACAGTGGAGCCGTGTACATTCGCCCCCCGCCAAACAACTACACGGATGGAAGGTATGTTGTTTCAAAATGCGGTTCTCGCCTTCGCACCGCGCGCATTCGACATAACAGCTTTGGCACTGAGGTGGATGGAGGGCAAGTGGTAGCTGAATGCGGTTTCCGCCTTCACTCCGCAAGGCGAGCACGGTTTGCCCGTCGGCCACGAGAGGACGGCTCCAGACGTTGCAACGAGACTTATGAATGGAATTGCGTTGCATCTATTTCAAGTTGCACGGATTCAATTTCAGTTATCATCCCTATTCTGGTGGATCAGAGATCCGCCCGGGTGGGTATGCATTCGGCTTTTCGGGACCTGCTTTGCGAGGATATTTTGGCACAGAGCTGGTGTATACAACTTTATCCTGGAGGGTGGAAGTCGGTGATCAATTGCCACGGCGGGGCCGTATGACCGACTCCGAAGCCCAGAACCTTAAACATGTTGACGTTATCACTTTTATTTCCGCCGCCTTCCTCCAGCCTTCCGCTGGCACGCCCGCCGACGTTTTCGCCGACGGCGAGACGCGCCGAAGTCAGCGCTGCCTATCCACGTAGTGCCTAATCCCGTTGCAGTGGCGACGGCGCGCTCGCTCGACGTACCCCGAATTGATTCGCCAGGCCCGCGGGGCGCCCAGCGCTGATCGCTCAGCCAACTATGCCGTCCCGCGGCTCGCGACGATCTCTTTTCTTTTCACGGCCGTACCTCCACGATGACTTGCCAGCCTCGTCTTTCCATTAATTGTGGGCCATCCGCTCCTCGACCTATGGTCGCCACCACCGGCACTGCCGGCTTCGGTAGCGATGCTCCACCATTTCTCGTTACCCTTCCCACGGCGCTTGCTAGTATGACTGTCCCAGCAGTTGTAAGAGCACGAAGTATTCCAACCTCTTTTGCCTCCGCCCTTGCTTCCACCGCAGCCCCGCCACTTCCCTCGGGACGGAGACTTTCCGACAGAAGCATCTTCAATTTCTCCAAACTCTCGGTCTATTTTCTTCTCCCAATCACGCCTGGACTCCGGGTCTGGTTCTGGGCCGACAGGCCCACCCATGCCCGTCCCCGGCGGGGGAGGCGGCGGCATGACAAGTCTTGCTAGCCGTCGACGCGGCGGCAGCATGTCCAGTTGCGGGCTCACCTCCCAACCCAAGATAGCTCTCTATTATCAAAGTATCAATCGTGGTGCCATGCTTTTCGAGTGCCCGAGCCAATTTTTCGCGCAAGTCTGCAACCCGATCAGTGTCATCGATGTCCCAAGCTTCCGAAGATGTCAAGGGCTCCCCGTATAGAAAACCCATCAGGCTGGATCGTGCCAGCTGCGAACCCCTTCAGCAAGGGAGATTGACATGGTTCCAGCAAGGACGCCGCCTCCATAGCGCATGCGCCGATCCACGTCTCATCGCCTTTCAACATCCGATCGATCGTTCCAGCTCCCGTAACTGTTTCGGACAGATACCAATGCACCGCACTCGCTGTCAGGGACTTGCGGGCGGACTGTTCAAGTCCATCGATTGCTTCAGCCGCTGCCTCCTCGTCCGCCATGTACCCCATCGAATTGGGAAACTCCCAATCAATCTTGAAAACCGAAGGGCCCGGACAAGCCAATGGCCAGCAGTCGGGAGTGAATGTCACACTCTCGTACTCACTAATGTGCAACTTACTGCGAATCGCAGCTTTGTTAGGTTTGGCATCAGCTGACGCCTTTCCAAGCCTGTCGATCGCGCGCGCTTCATTGAACCTGGAAGCAGCATCTCGGCCGTCGGCGAGACATGGCAAATATCAGCTTGTGTCCCGCTTTGCTCCGCGAGCCAACTCAGCGATTG